TCTCTCTCTCTCTCTCTCTCTCTCTCTCTCTCTCTCTCCTTTTGGTTTTTCGAGATAGGGTTTCTCTGTGTAGCTTTGGAGCCTATCCTGGCACTCACTCTGGAGACCAGGCTGGCCTCCCACTCACAGAGATCTTCCTGCCTCTGCCTCCTGAGTGCTGGGATTAAAGGCGTGGGCCACCAACGCCCAACCTGGAACTCTTTGTAGACCAGACTGACCTTGAACTCTTAAGATCCGCCTGCCTGTGCCTCCCCAGTGCTGGGATTAAAGGCAAGCACCATCATCCAGCTCACATTTTAAAATTAAATTTTAAAAAAGTAAAAACGACAGGATGGATGTAATAAAAGTAGATGTTGATAATTACTGAAAGTTGGTTTGGGGATATTAAGGGTTCATAATAATTTCCTATTTTTTTTTTCCCCAAGACAGGTCTCTGCGTAGCTTTGGAGCCTGTCCTGGAACTCGCTCTGTAGACCAGGCTGGCCTCGAACTCACAGAGATCCACCTGCCTCTGCCTCCCTAGTGCTGGGATTAAAGGCGTGCGCCACCACTGCCTGGCAATTTCCTAATTTTTTTTTTTTCCTTCTAGTTTGAAAAACAAGTATTTTGGTACAATGTGTGTGCCTGGTACCTTCGGAGGCCAGAAGAGGGCAATGGACCCCGTGGAACTGGGGTTACAGACAGCTGTGAGCAGTCGTGGGTGCTGGAAACAGAACTCTGGGAGAGCAGTCAGTGCTCTTAACCTGCTGAGCCATCTCACCAGCCTGAGTTTACAACTTGCAGAGAGAACGAACCTAGGTTTGGTCCCCAGCATCCTTATCAGGCAGCCTAAAAGCGCTTAGAAATCCAGTTCCAGGGATGTGACGCCCTCTTCCGGCTTCAGCGGGCTCAAGTACACGGTGGAAGGCTAATAGGAGCATTCTAATGCTCCGTGCTGCGTTCCCAGTGCAGACACTGGGCTAAAGGGATGTCCCTGCAGAAGGGGTGCGGTTTGATGAGCGGGACTAGCTCCCATGGTTGGAGCTAGCTCGCGAGGTCTCTAAGACAGACAGAGACTCAGGCTTGGAGCCCTTGTCTAGGAGACAGTTTTCCTTGTCAGAGTTGGGGTTCCGAGGGGCGCACGCCACCCAGGACACAGGGCTGCAGCAGGCCACGGCGCGGCTTCTTGGCTCCCTCCTCGTCCGAGCCGGCGGGGTGAGGAGCAGAGGATCCCGGCGCTGAATGACCCTCTCCTGTCCCCTGCGCGCCCCTAGCGCCTCACTGTTTACACTTACTGCAGGAAACTCCTCTCCCGGGGTGTCAGGCAGCCGCAGCCTGAGGGCCGGAAGTCGGGCTATCTACTTCCGTCTCCAGCCGGAAGTGCCTGCTGTTCCCGGCCAAGTCTCGGCGGTAACCAGCCCTGGCCATGGCCGCGTCTTTGGCGGGGAAGAAGATCGTGTTTGTGACGGGAAATGCAAAGAAGCTGGAGGAGGTGTCGTGGGGTGTGGGGGACCCTCTAGGAGGCGGGGCGGGGGGGAGATAGGGCTGCAGGAGTTGCCTTGCCAGGGAAGCACGGGAGTTGGAACGTGGTTTAGTAGCCCCTGTGTGGACGGGCTGGGCTTGGGGAAGAGATCTTCGTGGAGTGCCGCGCCTTGAGGATCGAGAGGATTTAAGTTGTTTTTTTTTTTCTTTAAGATTTATTTGTTATGTATACAATGTTCTGCCTACCTGTAGGCCGGAATGCCGTAAGAGCGCACCGGATCTCACTGTAGGATGGTTGTGAGCCACCATGTGGTTGGTGGGAAATGAACTCAGGGCTTCTAGAAGAACAGCCAGTGTTCTTAACCTCTGAGCCATCTTTCCAGCCCTATTTAAGAGTTTTTTGTTTGTTTGTTTGTTTGTTTTCGTATTATTTTGAGATCGTGTAGTCCGGGCTAGCTTGACCCCCAGCTCTGTAGCCAGGATTGATCTTGTTCTCTTGACCCTCCTGTCTCCCGAGTTCTGGGTCTACGTGCATGCCCTACCACACCTTTTTTGGGATGAGCTGGTAAAGTCAGCAGACCATGAGACCTGGAGTATCAGCATCTGTGACAAAGATCAACCTCTAAGCCCTAAGTTTTGACACCTCTCCACCTCAAAAGTGATGGCAAACAGAAAGTGTGTAGGGTTGATCCAGACTGAGTAGTTCACATCCCACTATGGTCCATCTACTCTTAGGCACTTTCTGTATCTAATACCTCATAAGATTCATGGCTGACCACAGTATTAGAAAACTGAGGTTAACAAAGGAAAAACTCAACAATATTGTCTAAGCTTTATATGCTGCAGCTTTTAGAATGAAGAACCAAAGACTTAGTGCCTTGGATCTAACCCAGGACTTACAGAATTGCTGTCACTGTCGTCCTGAACTACACTCATATTCTGAGAAAACTGTTTTTCTACCTAGATTTGATGAAGCATTACTATAGGATGTGATCAGAAAGGGTATGACCCAGTACTAACAGACTAGGGAAACTCAGCACGTCCATCCAGATTGGACATTTCCTTATGCAGCGTTTTTTCCTTCCTTGTATGTGGTAGGATTGTTTCTGAAGTGAGAATAGGTCACATAATTTTGTTTTTTGCTTTGTTTTTGAGAGAGTGTCTTGATATGTACATACATAGCCCTGGCTGTCCTGGAACTCCCTATATAGACCAGACAGGTCTTAAACTCACACAAAAATTCGCCTGCCTCTGCCTTCCAAGGGCTGGGATCAAAGGTGTGCACCACCACTGCCCAGCTCTAGATGCTCATCTTAGCTTAGTTAGTCTTTCTCAGTTTTTCCCCACTTGTGAGAGGACGTAGCGAAGCTTCTGACAGATGTCATCTCTGGCCATAGTTGAGTGTGTTCCTGTTTAGTCAGCATTGCTAAAAAGGTATGGTCATGTATGGGGGATCAGGATGACATCCACTGTATATATCTGAGGCTAACCAATTGATACAGCAGGAGGCCCTTCCTTGGTTGAAACAGGGATTAATGGCATTTCTGTACAGGACAGGAGTCTTCAAAAGAGCCAGAGCCATCCTGATTAAACGTTTGGGATCCTAAGGTCAGGTCAGTCAAGTAGACAGGTGGTGCCATCTGAGTGGAGTCAAAGCAGAGTGGTGGATGCCAGACCCCAGTCCTCTGGCTGAGCATATGTCCTTGCCACATTAAAGGGCTTGAGGCCAGTGGATAGTGTATCAAGTGGAGCACTTGCTCATCTGTGTACAAGTCGCCACCAGTACCTCCACCATGTCATCAACAGAAAGGAAGGAAGATAAAGTAAGGGTCCTGTGTACTTGGGGAGGCTCCTTGGAGAATAGGACTTAAGCTTGACCTACAACAGGAGAGAGAGTCTGTCTTTTTGGTTTATTTTTTAATTTTGTTTTTGCTTTGTGTTAGCCAGGCTTCATGCATACGAAGCAAGTGCTGTACCACAGATCTCTATCCCTAACTAGGATAGTCTTTATATCTCTAAAGTATTTGTTTACACGTGTGTTTTATGTATACGTGCTTGCTTGTGTGGGTGGGTGCACATGAAGGACAGACGTTGATGTCAGGATGTCTTTCTAAATTGCTTCTCCACTTATTTTTTTTTTTTTTGAGAAAAAGTTTTATTTTATGTATATGGGTGTTTTTTCCCTGTGTGTATGCCTTTGCACTGTGGGCATGGAGTGTCTACAGAGGTCAGAAGAGGGCACTGGATCCTCTGTAACTAGAATTACAGATGGTCGTTAGCCACCACCTGGATTCTGGAACAGAGCCTGGGTTCTTTGCAAGACCAGCAAGAGCTCTTGTTTTGGGGGCAGTTTCTCTCACTGAACCTGGAGCTTATTGTTTTAGCTAGACTGGCTAGCTAGCTACCCCCTGGACTCTGCCTGTGACTGCCTCCTAATGCTGGTATTACACCACTATAGCTGGCTTGTTTATCTGGATGCTGTGAATCTGACCTCAGGTCCTTAGACTTCTGCAGCAATAGTTCGATGAACTATTTCCCTAGCCCCTCTTTACATCTTTTTAGTAGTCTGTTGGCATAATAATGAAGTCTAAGTACTCCTGTACTTATTGTGTATAGATATTGTATGTGAGGTATGCATATTGAGACCAGAAGAGGCTAATGCTTGTCTTCCTCCTTCTCTTGAGATAGAGTCTCCCACTGAACCTGCGGTGTGCTGTTCGTTTGGTGGGGTGGCAAGTTCAAGCAATCCTCCAGCACTGAGGTCACAGGTAGCATGGCTAGCCCAGAGTTTTCTGTAGTGCAGGGACCAGAACTCAGGTCCCCATGCTGTGCTGCAAGTGCTCTTACCCACTGAGTCATGGCTACAGTACACCATCCCCATTGTAAAAAATTTATTAATTTTATGTTTATGAGTTTGCATGTATGTCTGAACCACAAGCATGCAGAGCCCATGGAGACCAGGAGGAGGCATTGGGTCCCCTGAGACTGGAGTTACAGATAGTTGTGAGCTACTCTATAGGTATTAGGAACCAAATAGGGGTCCTCTGCAAGAGTAACTGGTGCTCTTAACCACTGAGCCACCTCTTTAGCCCCAGGTCTCCCCTCCCCATTTTTTGAAATAGGGACTTACTCTGTAGCCGAGTTGGCTTTAAGCTGTGGTCTTCTTCCTTTAACCTTTCTAGGGATAGGATTGTGGAATACAGGTGTGGCCATACTCCCTCGACTGGATACTCAGAAAGAAAAAGTTTCTTTTCACCTCCCAGCCCTTAAATATTATATATATAATTTTGTTTTTCGAGACAGGGTTTCTCTGTGTAGCTTTGGAGCCTGTCCTGTAACTCACTCTATAGACCAGGCTGGCCTTGAACTCCCAGAGATCTGCCTGCCTCTGCCTCCCAAATGCTGGGATTAAAGGCATGCACTGCTACTGCCTGGCTTAAAAAATGTGTATGTATATGTATGTATGTATACATATAACATATGTGTGTGTGTGTCTGTGTGTGTTTTAAATTATGTGTATGTGTTAGGGGAGGGGAACATGAGGTCAGAGAATAACTTTCAGAAGTTGGTTCTTTCCTTGCACCATGGGCTTGACAGCTTAGGCTGTCAGGCTTGTGCAAGCAATAAATGCTTATATCTGCTGAGCCATTTTGATGGCTCCCTCCCTCCTTTCTTTCCAAGATAGGTTCTTGCTGTATAGCTTTGCCTTGAACACACAAAACTTCTATCACAATAAAAATAATACTCTAATATACAAAAAGAGGAGGACATGGTGGTACATGCTTCTAATTGCAGCATTCTGGACTCTGAGACGGGAAGACTTTGAGTTACATAGTGAAATCCTGTCTCCAAAAGTGTGTGTGAGCCAGGCAGTGGTGATACGTGCCTTTAATCACAGCACTGGGGAGGCAGAGGTAGGTGGATTTCTGTAAGTTGGAGGCCAGCCTGGTATACAGAGCAAGTTCCAGGACAGGCTCCAAAGCTACAGAATAACCCTGTCTTGAAAAGCACCCCACCCCCAAAGTATGTGTGTTGTGGGGAGGGGCATAGCTCAGTGATAAAGTACATGCCTAGCATGTATGAGGTCCTGGGTTCAATCCCTAGTGCCACAGAAGTCTGAAGGAAATAAACTATAATGAGGTATAATTTTCAAAACAATAGTTGTACACGGTGGCTTACACTTCTGCAGATCCTGATTTTAATAGGGTTAAAAGTCACTGGGAAGCTAGGACAAATGGCACCTGCCTATAATACTAGTACTGAGTTGGGGCGGGGGTTGAGTTATCAAGACATGAAATTGCCCAGGTCAGCCAGGGATGCACCAGGAAACGAAGAAAGAACAGTCATGGGAACCGCTGGTGCAGCCTGGCTTGTTACCCTGAATTGAAAAGGTGAATGTCAACTAGGGCTTATTGGAAATGCAGAGCAGTTTTCTTTGCAAGGTTATTCTGGCTGACCCTTGAGAAAATTCGTGGGCTAGGAGGATGAGTGCCTTTTAGAGCACTGAAGAGAGCAGAGCATTGTAGATGGAAGGGTGGGTGAGGTAAAAAACAAAGCCAGAAGTTGGAAGGAAGAAGGGATGCTCATTTAGTGGGTCTCTGGGAGTTGGGATGAGGCTTGTGGGCTCAGTTTGATAAGCTTTAGGGGACTAATGGGAACATTACGCAATGAGAAAGGTGGATGACACCTCATAGAGTAGTAGGAAATTAGGGGGAATTGTTAGCAAATGGTGTGACAAATGTTCTTTCATTTTGGAACAGGTCATTCAGATTCTAGGAGATAAGTTTCCGTGCACTTTGGTGGCACAGAAAATTGACCGTATGTTTCTGTTTTGTTTCATTTCTAAAAGTGGTTTGATTTAACTGTCACCCTGTGTGCTGACTCTATGCATCTGTGTGTCTGTTTCCCTAATAAGTGCCTGAGTACCAGGGAGAGCCGGATGAAATTTCCATACAGAAGTGCAAGGAGGCAGCTCGCCAGGTACTTAACCACTGTGGTTCCCCTATTCAGTCTTCTTGTGGGCCCCTGGGGCCTGTGCCATGTGAAAACAGGCAGCGAATAAAATAGTTTGTTGGGACACTGTCTCTTCTGTTCCAACTCTCGCCTTTCTGATCCTTAGTTCCATGCATTCCAGCCATACATGTTCCTGTACCCACCCTTCCACACACCTGTACTCAGAGTTTGCAGAGCTGGGAAGGAGCACGTTATAGAATCAGGCTTCCTAGCTGGTTTCCAGCATGTCATTGCTGTGTTGAGCAAGACTTATCTTGTCATTGCTCTCCGATGTCCACATTTCCAGACTGAAGACTAAGAGCTGAGTTATGTGGCACTTAATGAACCTGTAACTGCAGATCTCACCCTCATCTGGCTGTGGTCTAGGCCCCAGTTGAATACACCCATGGTTGGATGAAGCCTACTGCTGATAGAAATCTCAGGGCTGTATGTCTTTGTTACAGGTGCAGGGTCCTGTACTGGTGGAGGATACCTGTCTGTGCTTTAATGCTCTCGGGGGGCTCCCTGGCCCCTACATGTGAGTACTCTTACTACCCCTCTATCTCTGCAGGGTCCCATCCACAAAACTACCAGAATAGTAAAATGATTGGCTACCTGATGTTATCTTGGCATCAGCCCTGAGGAAGTATTAAGATTGTCAAGGACAGGACTGGAGAAATGGCTCAGTAGTTAAGAGTGCTTGCTGCTTTTCCACTGGACCCAGGTTTGGTTCTCAGCACCTAAATCAGGCAGCTTATAACTGCTTATAACTTCAGCTTCATGGAATCTGATGCCTCCGGCCTTTGTGGGTACCCGCACTCATATATACACACGTACACGCATATACACATACAGATAATTAAAAATAGCATACATCTTAAAAACAAGAAAAGAGAGAGCTGGGTATAGTGGTGCACATCTCTAATCTCAGCACTAGGAGGCAGAGACAGGCAGTTCTCAGTGAGCTTGAGGCCAGCCTGGTCCACATAGTGAGTTCCAAGCCAACTAGAGCTGTACAGTGAGGCCCCCTGTCTCAGAGAATATAGGGGCTGGAGAGAGGACTCAACCCTTAAGAGTGTTTTTTGCTCGATCACAAGGACTGGAGTTTAGGTTCCAGTATCCACATTCAACTTACAAATTCCAGCTCCAAGGGATCCAGCACCCTCTTCTGGGCTCCACAGACATAAGTATGCACATAACATTCACATAGATATGTATACACATACACACATAAATAAACATTTAAAAAGAGGAGTTAAAGATAAGGCTGAGCTGGGGCTGGAGAGGTGGCTCAGAGGTTGAGAGCACTGACTGCTCTTCCAGAGGTCCTGAGTTTAATTCCCAGCAACCACATGGTGGCTCACAACCATCCATTATGAGATCTGGTGCCCTCTTCTGGTGTGCAGATGTACATGGAAGCAGAATGTTGTATACATAATAAATAAATAAAATCTTTAAAAAAAAAAAAAAGATAAGGCTGAGCTATTAAGAGCACTGGCCGCTCTTGAAGAGGACCTGGGTTCAATTTCCATCACCCACGTGGCAGCTCACAACATCTGTAGCTACCTTTCCAAGTAGCCTGACCTTTTCTGCCTTCTGCAGGCACCAGGCACACATGTGTATATATACATATGTGCAGGCAAAGCACTGAGTACATAAAATAATAATAATAATAAATGAATAGCAGGTGGGTGAGGACACAGTGCCCCGTTAGAGTGCTTGCCTTTGTTGTCTAATAAAGGCCCGAGTTCAGCTCCTACTTGTGTACACCAGGTGAGCAGGCATGGTGGTGCATGCCTAAAATTCCAGCACTTGCAAGATGGAGACAGAGGGATCAAAAGTTCTGGGTCATCCTTGGCTACATAGGGAGTTCTAGGCCAGCCTAGGCTACATGAGATCCTGTCACCAAGCAACCAGAGAGAGACATGGTTTTCTTTAATTATGAGAATGTAGTTCTGTAAGTGAGATTGAAAAGTGGTGTCTGCTCATTTCCAAGATGATATGGCACCCTGTATTACCTGCCTCAGCCTAAGTATTTCCCTAGTCAGCACTTAGGCTCTCGCCTTCCTTGGTATACTGAGCCTTCTGTCTGCTGCCTGTTTGACTCCATTTTTTTTTTTTTTTTTTTTTTTTTTTTTTTTTTTATTATTAGACTCAGGTTTCTCTCTTTCTCCTCCCTTTCCTTCTGCCTCCCCTTGATCTCCCTTTAGCCCCCATCCTTCCCCCTCTTGTCTGTTCCTCTGCTGCTGAGCTATACTCCCAGGCTTTGGATTATTTTCTTAGTTTGACTTGAGACATTCTTTTTCATTCCTCTTGCCTTTGGGAGCTCTAATTCCTAGGGACCGTAGGCCAGGGTAGGTGATAGGAAGATTAGTCTGCTCTTGCTCTTGGTACTGACTCTCTTTCTATTGCAGAAAATGGTTCCTAGAGAAGCTAAAGCCTGAAGGTATGTATCCTTATTATTTCTTCCCATGGGTCTTTTGGGATTGAGTCTGGGAGTAGTCCCCATTAGTATTTGATGCTCTAGGCCCTGCCATCAGCCTCCACTCTCATCTGAGCTATAGTTGATTCTGGTTATCATGGGACTTGACCTTAATGACTGTAGTTCTTTCCTTCAGCCATGGCCTAGCCTGGTCTTCAGAGAGGGAGCTACTTCTTCTAGGACCAAGAATCTATCTTTTCACTCCGGAGTGAATGCCACAATGTTCCCTCTTTAGGTTTTTGGGTATGTTGTTTGTTTGTTTGTTTGTTTGTTTTTTGAGACAGCATTTCTCTGTGTAGCCTTGGCTGTCATGAAACTTGATCTGTAGACCAGGCTTGCCTTGAACTCACAGAGATTCATTTGCCTCTGCCTCCCAAGTGCTGGGATTAAAGGTGTGCGCTACCACCACCTGGCCCTCTTTATATGTTTTGTATTTTATTTATTTATTTTTGGGTTTTCGAGACAGGGTTTCTCTGTATTATTTTGTAGCCTGTCCTGGAACTCGCTCTGTAGACAAGGCTGGCTTTGAACTCACAGAGCTCCTTCTGCTTCTGTCTCCCAAGGTTTTTTTGTTTTTAAAAAAGCATTTAAACTAGTCACAGTGGTGTATTTCTATCATCTTAGCTCTTAGGAGGCTGAGGTAGGAGGATCCAGAGTTTAAGACCAGCCTGGGCCACAGATAAGACCCCGTCTCAAGAAAACAGAATGGGCTGGAGAGATGGCTCAGCAGTTAAGTGTACATGTTACTATTGAAGAGGAGCCAGATTTGGTTCCCAGCACCTACAAGGCTGCTTACAACTGTCCATAACTCTAGTTCCAGAGAATCTGGCATCTTGTGACCTCAGTGGGCACTAGTGCACATGTATGCAGCCAAAACACTTGAAAAATAAATAAATCCTTAAAACCAAAAACCCATTTGACTTTTTGGAGCAATCTGTCAGCCATGTATGTAGGCACATGCCTGTGATCCAGCACAAGGGAGACTCTGTGGAGTTCAGCCTGGGCTGCAGAGCAAGATTCTGTTTTAAAAACAAAAACAGGTAGGCATAGAAGTCTAAGCCTATAATCCTGAGAGCTGTAAGCAGAGGATCGGAAGTTCATCAGTGATACAGTAAAACTAGCCTAGACTACCTGAGATCTTGGTCTCAACAACAACAAAGGCTGGAAATGTATCGCAGTTATCAGAATGCTTGCCTAGCATACATAAAGCTCTGGATCAGTCCCTATGCCACATAAACCAAGTGTGGTGATGCACACCTGTAATCCCAGCATTCACTGGGTGGAGGCAGAAGCATCTTATTTATGTTCCAGTACAGCCTGGGTTACAAAGTGAGTTCTAGGCTAAGCTAGACTACATGAGACTTTGATCTCAACAAAGAACCTTGTTTTCGTTTGTGTCAGAGCCTGAAGAGATACTTCAGCTGCCTCTTGAGGACTAGAATGCAGCCCTTGCAACCTCTCACCCCCACACAGTCCAGTTTAGAAAATTCTTCCACACACTTGGGCTTTTGGAGTGAGGGTGGGTACTGCACGGCCTAGATCCACTGAACCTCACTAATGTGCCCGCAGGTCTCCACCAGCTCCTGGCCGGCTTTGAGGACAAATCAGCCTATGCACTCTGCACGTTTGCTCTCAGCACTGGAGACCCAAGCCAGCCAGTGCTCCTGTTCAGGGGCCAGACCTCGGTGCGTACCCGCTGAACAATGCTGCTGGTCACTAGAGGACTCTGTGGCTTAAATAAATGGCCTGCAATCTACTGCAGGAACAAAATAAGAAGATGCTAGTGTTAGCAGGTGCTTTGGGGCACCATGCTTGTGTGAGATAAACACTACAATTAGAAAAATGTCAGTCCCCAAACCTATTTGGACCCCTAGCCTTATACACTCAGATTTTGTCAGAGTAGGTCCTGGTAAGATGCAGATGCCAAAGCTAACCTTGAACTCATAGAGAGCCACCCACCTCTGCCTCCTGAGTCCATCTTGTTATTTTGGTTTCTCAAGACAGGATTTGTCTGTGTAGCCCTGGTTGTCCTGGGTTCACTCTGTGGACCAGAGTGAACTGGACAAACTCAACAAAGATCTGTCTGCCTCTGACTCCCAAGTGCTGGGATTACAGGTGTGCGAAACCACACCTGGCCCATCTTGTTTTTTTAAACAGTCTCCACTGGCCTGAAACTTGCTAAATATACTAGTTTGTTTCCCCTTCCCTGGGGTTACAGGAGTTATAACACGATAATTGGCTTATTTAGAGTGTTTGTTGTTGTTGTTGTTTTAACGTGGGTTTTGGGAGTTGAACCCAAGTCCTCTCCATAAAAGACAAGAGAATCACACAACTGAGCCATCTCCCTAGCCTCCTGAGTTTTTAAATCAGAATCTTGCTGTGTAGGTCTGATTGGCCTGGTAACTCAGCATTCTTCCTGTTTCAGCCTCCTCAATGCTCCCATTACAGGCTTTCTCCATCACACCTAGCTAGCTCTATACCTTACCCAGGTGCGTAACAGAGTAATTCAGGTGTGGTTAGATTCACAAACTGAACAAACTCACTCTGGTCCAGTACATCTCCAGTTACACACTTGCCACCATTACACGCCTGCCCTCCCTGTTACACACCAGCCCTCCCTATTTCACCCCTGCCCTCCCTATTTCACACCTGCCCTCCCTAATACACACCTGTCCTTCCTATTACAGGGCCAGATTGTGATGCCACGAGGCTCCCGGGACTTTGGCTGGGATCCCTGCTTTCAGCCTGATGGATATAAGCAAACGTAAGGAACCCAAATTTCTTCCCTGGTGCCTGGGCTGTGTGCAGTCATGCAGATATGGATAAGGCAGGCTCTGTTCCAGCTGAAACCATTTCTGCTGGGATGGACACAAGGAATCCAGGTGGCCTAGTCCATGGCAGGACAACATAGACATCCTAGGTTCTGATCCCAGCTCACTTGGCTATTTTATGGCAGGTGGCTTCCATCCTCTGGCCCTGCATATTAAGATGCATAAATCTTGTGGTTTTATGGGATAACATTAGCTCCATCTGGACTAGAAAAATGCATACTTTTGTAGCCGTTAGACATGTGAAACCCTCACAGTAGTACGTGTTCTTAGCACTTCACATTAGCAGCACCTTCTTATTTATACATATTTGTACATTGCCATTACTGGATCAGGCTTTCCAGACTGTAGCTCCCCTGCTTGGTGGTACTTCGTAGGGTCTCAAGCAGCCCTGGTCAGCCGGTCCTTGGGTGTCAGGAGTATCCTCTGATGTGCTGTATGCTTGGGTGGTCACAGAGCACTTGGAATTTAGTTAGATGAAGAACTGAGTTTATTTTAACTCTGTTTATTTATTTTATGTTACTGGGTGTTTTGACTACATACATGTCTGTACAACTGATGACTGTACTGGCCAGAGGTCAGAAGGGACTGACTGACTGTTGGATTTCAGGGACTGATCCATCTCTGCAGCCCCATTTTTGTTCAGTTGTAATTAACTTTGGCCACCTATAGCTAGTTCTGAAGCCTAAAGTCAGGATGTGACCTCTCATCTCTCTAGTAGTGTCCTCACATAGACAAAATTGGGCCCTGGCCAGCTGCCTGGCTCTCCAACCCACAGTGCTATTGATCTGTGAGGCTCCATTGCTTCCTGTCAAACACCTCCTCATCCTTGTCCCCAGCTTCTTCCCAAGCCCATTACCGTGGGTTTCTGTCTTACATAGGAATTTATCACTGTCTGATAAAATAAACTGAGGAGCTGGTGGCCCATTGCCTGCTTTCGTGGCTCTCAGGGTAGAAGGTCATTTTTGGGCTCAGACATGGAGTCCTGGGGGGCCTGTCTGCCCCTTGCCTGTACACAGGTTCTGGATATGGTTTTTACTTACAGAGACCCCCCCCCCCCCCCCCCCCAAAAAAAAACAGAATCATTGGGCTTTGGGCTCCAGGGTGGCAGTGGGGTGCCCATCCTCCTGATAATCTGGGTTCCCTGTTTTCTGAGCTGCTTCTCTTTGCCTCTTAGGTATGCAGAGATGCCAAAGGCTGAGAAGAACACCATTTCTCATCGATTCCGGGCCCTGCTCAAGCTACAAGAGTACTTCAGTGTGACTGCCGGTGGCCACTAAGGCCATGGGGGAGGGGAGGACTGGTGCAGAACTTTCCAGGAGACAGACACTCCTGGAAAGTATTTCTCTGGGTTGCCCTTTGCCGGGGATCCAGGCAGCTTCAACAGCCAGGTATGGAAGAGCGGTTTGCTCTGTATAGGGAATTCTGGGCCAATTGATACTACACTCTTGCCCTTGGGGATTCAAGAGTTGCCTTTGGCCTGGCATAGTGGTGCATACCTTTAGTCCCAGAATTTTGGAGGCAGAGGCAGATAGATCTTTGTGAGTTCAAGGCCAGCCTGGTTTACATAGTGAGTTCCAGGACAACCAGAGCTACATAGTGAGATGCTGTCTCAAAAACAAACAAAAAACAGAGTTCTTGCAGCCTCTGGGATCCTAAGAAAACTTTGTGTGTTCACACTTCTTAGCTGGGTTGAGAGTTGGCAAAGAAACACACAACCTTTGATTTTTAGAATGCAACAATTGTAAATAAGGAAGACATGTTTACAAAATAAATGGTGTATCTGTCTTGAGCCTTGTCTGTCTTGCGCTCCCTTTGACAGGTGGGAAGCCATCTTGATGGGTGATCAGAGGAGCAGAGCTGTGTGGAGATGCTCACCTGCCTGGATAGGGCACACTGCTCTAGTTGAGTTCTTGTTCATAGAGTTGTGAATCATGGGCTGTCCTCTTTTCCCTGTCAGATTCATGCCGGGAGGCGGGTAGGTGTGTAGGCAGCACAGTGTAGAATGTACATTATAGGCTGGCAAACGACCTGAGTTCAATCCCAGAGCCCCCGAATGAAGGGAGAGAACTGACACTCAGAGGTTCTTCTCTGACCCCCGTTTGTATGTCATAGAATGAACCCCCCCCCACATACACACAAATAAATGTTAAAGGCCCTCTCTCCTCAGAAGCAGGACAGGAATCCTGCTGAAGCTGCCTTGTACCATCATGTGCATCCCTTCTCCCCAAGCAGTTGTTTCTTGGTGAGGAACATGTGCTCAGGAAACACTAGAGAAGAAAGCAAGCAGGCTTCTGTGCCCCAGGCAGTTCTGGGACTATTCCCTCTAGTTTTTGGCCCCCAGACTTGGCAAGGTGGCCTTGGGTTTACCCATTACAAAGGCATTTTTCCTGACCCCTGGCAGGAAACATGTGGTTAGGTATAGAACACCATTCTTTCCCACCTGTCCCCTGCTGCTTGCCTGTCCTGGCACTGCCTGGCTCCAACATGGAGTACTGGGGGCCTCTGCCCCTTGCCTATGATTCTAGATATGGCTGTCTCTTCAGGGATTGCCCACGCTACTGAGGAAGCCCACCCCTCCCAACTTAATTGCAGGTTGGGTGGGCAGCTTGATGTTTGCTGCTCAGCTCCTTCCTGAATCTTCCCCAATTTGACCCATCCCTACAAACAGCTGTGGAGAACACACTGTACCTGACTCCCCCGACCCCATGCACAATTACACTTAGGTTCACACCCTATGCCCTCAGATGTGCCACTCTCGTCCTAGCATGTCCAGGTGTTAGTGTGACTTGCCAGCTCAAGTCTAAGGTGAGATTCCTTTTGGCTTGTATTTCCCATCCCTCCCCCCCTCCCCTTTTCAGTACTGAGGACAAACTCAGCCTCTAGCATGTGAGGCATTCTGCAGAGCCACACCCCCAACGCTACCAAGAGGATTGAGGATCTCTTGCCATTCCTGTTTTCCTCTTCTTCCTTCCTTCCTCCTCCCTTCTTTCTTCTCTCTCTCTCTCTCTCTCTCTCTCTCTCTCTCTCTCTCTTTTTCAGTTTTTAAGACAGGGTTTCTCTGTGTAGCTTTGGAGCCTGTCCTGTCCTGGAACTCGCTCTGTAGACCAGGCTGGCCTCAAACTCACAGAGATCCGCCTGCCTCTGCCTCCCGAGTGCTGGGATTAAAGGCGTGAGTCACCAACACCTGTTATCCTTTTTTCTTGCTGCTATGCTGGACCTGTGTCCTAGTATGGAGGTGTCTTTTATTTTGTGATGTTACCTGGCATTTACTTTGTATTTATTTTTGTGGTGCTGGGAACCAAACCCGGGGCCTTGCACCAGTCAGATAACTAACATCTTCAGCCCTGGTTTATCTATTCACAGTTGGGCCAGTGTTCACTCTTGAGGTAACAACACAAAGATGGATACTTGTGGGGACAGAATGATACCAAGAGTTATCTCCACACTTAACTTCTTTTGAGATATTGGTTCAGGACTTCACACCATTGCTCTGTGGATCCTCTGTATAAAGGGTTTGTTACACAGAAGTAATACAACTCACTGAAGAGACATGCGAGTGCACCTGAAGCCACCATGGGGGTGCAAAGGCCATGGTAATTGCTGGGTAATTTTTGGTGGTAACTGCATGGCTAGGTAAGGCAGTGATACCCACCAAGGTGACTGGGAAAGGTTTGCAATCACTTGTGCCTGAGAATGATAAAGAGCACAGGAAAGGTCAAACCAGATGCTCCCAAAAGCCATAGGTTAATTGGGACCCCAGTGCTGGGAGTGGGTTACCTCCCACAGAGGCGCTTGAGGCCCCTAAAACAATAAAGGCTTTGCCACAGTTGCTAATTACCTTCCAGAACTTAATGACAAGACCCTACTGCTGAAGAGCCTGCCTGACTGGAAATAGTCAGGGCTGGGCTGGAAGTGCCCCTCCCCGAGAGCTAGCTCCTGTATCTACTGAGGATGCTGGGGAAAATTAAGCCTTGAAGTCCTGCTCAGCTGTGGGTCCCTCGTGCTTCGTGATGGAAGTGCCTAAGTGCACAAGTGGTTGTGGACAGAACCAACTTTCTGATTGGACCAGAGGTCCGTCTCACAGGGAGGAAGTTCACATCTGGCACAGGGAACACAGACAACCTGTGACTAGGGAAGTCATAAGCTCCAGTGGAGAGCAAGTGCTCTTAACTGGTAAGGTGCCTGCCCACATGAGTTTACTACAGTAGTTTACTGTAGTCCACATTCTTTCGGATATTCTTCTGTTCCCGTTTTTGTCAAGACTTGCCAACAGCTGTGTTCCAGAGGAATGATCAAAGGGCACAAAGGGCTGGGTACTTCGGAGAATAGTCAGACATCTGTCACATTCCCAGCACAGCCCCAGGCTCAGAGACCCTTGAAGAGGGAATGTGAGGGCTGGAGGAAGGAGTGGAGAGGATGCTGTGATTATCCTCAGGGCCAAACAACTGCTATCTGTAACAGTTCACTTCCCTACTTGCAAAAGATCATCTCAGCTAGGCTTGTTGACTGTGAAAGCCCCCCAGAGAGGTGCAAGGATAGAAGACCCTCACCTGAGTATCCCTGCACTTTCTACCACTCATGTGACTTTACCCTAATTGCATGTAGCCTGGGCAATGTATAGACAGACAGACAGACAGACATGAGGGACTAGAGAGAGGCTCCATCTATGCCTCTGTGGGAAAGTCATCCAGGTAAAGACTTGCCCATGTGGCCTTTGAGGGGTTACACCCAAGCTCTAGTAAGTAACCCCTCACCTATTCTCCTTAAGGAAGCACACAAACTGTTGTTGGGGCCTTAGGAAGAGTAGAAGTGCCTTCCCCCTGGGAAGGAATTTCAGCAACAAATGCCAGTGATCAAACCAGAAACAAGGCATCTTCTTCCTCCATTGTTGCTGGGTCCTAATGACTCCCTTAGGGAGGGGATGAGAAGGTCTAAATCAAGACACAGACCTCTGGAGTCAGGTGAAAGAAAACAGCAGACTCATTTTTTTAGCAATGGGTAGAAATTTATATACCCTCCCAGAACCCAGGCGTTCTGATCCATTGACACTGTGTAGTTGCCCCTCATTGGCTAGGCACGATCAGGACCACTAACAACTGTCAGACTCCAGGTTGGCTCATCTCTTGGCCTTGTAGGCCTTACCTTCCTATACTCCAGACTAACCACCCGTCTCCCAGTTCTCAATAAATCACATCACTGGCCCAAACAGGGTGCTCCTGCCCTCACCCCTAGCCATATCCTATAGCCACTTTCTTCACCACACAGCACCTTACTGTCTGCTCTGGGTCTTTGTTCCCAGAAAACATCCCTTGCAGGAGCCTCAACAGACTGACACAAAGGTCTGGTTGTCTACGTCTCACTCACAGTTGGGCCAGTGGCCACTGTTGGAAATGGCAGCATATAGATGGTACTCAACAAACATTGGTTGGTCCCTTTTATTCTCCCAGTGGGTTTGTTTCCTGTTGCCAAGTCTGAGAGAGAAGCATAGATGGAGGCAGCATGAAGCATAGAAACAAAACTTTTATTCACTAATGTACACACAGTGAATTCCTTACACAATCAAGGAAATGGGCTTTCTCCTGGGCATGAACTCTTTTATCAAAAGAAAATCTACTCTTCTTAGCCCCACCCTGGCAATGTCCCTGACCCCAAACTAAAGTTAATGGGGTGAGGGGTGAGTACACACCACTGAAAACCACAATGCCCAGGGGCTTTAGGCCACAATGAGGACTGGCCAGAGCCACTGCCAGTTCCTACCTCCCCTTACATTGTCACAGAACAGACTTGAAAGGATGGGGAGGACACAGCACAGGTCAGGGCCTGTGCTCAGCATCCATGACATCCAAATACTTGGCTTCAATGATTCGGGGTAGCAGATTGTATCTGTTGAGAAGAGGGACAGGCAAACTGAGTGGTAGATAGATGGTCATAGCAGGTACCCACTAAGCCCAGCAGTGGGCTGAGCCCTCCTGGCAGCTACCCAGCCTGGTCATACCGGATGGGAATCATGGCGATCATGATGAGGGGAAAGACCATCTTCATGTAAGGCAGGGAGCTCATGCCGAAGGCACACAGCAGTAGCAGCTGCAGAATCTGCAGGCCTGTGAAGTAGTGGATCTTCCTTTGGGGCACTCTCCGGATGTAGTGTGTGGGTGGGTATGATGTCTGTGGGCAGCAGCAACCAGGCAGTCAGGGACGGCTGTGTTCCCATACACCCCCCCACCTCCCCGGCCCCGGCCCCCACCTGCTCCTTGAGCAGCAGGGCCACACGTGAGAAGAGCTGGTTGCCATCCAGGGAGGTGAGCGCGATGTAGAGGAAGAGCCCATAAAGCACAGGTTTGGGAATCCACTGCAGTGGGCAGGGCAGCAGCAGCAGGGAGAGACCCACCAGGACACTGGCGCCCAGCGCAGTCAGCCGCGTCTCCTTAACGTTCACAATCCTGTGGGGACCCAGAGCACAGGACTACACATTGCCTCTGAGCCCTTATCTTTAAGCCACATCCTTTCCTAGGTCACATGTAGCCCAAGGTTGCCCCCCTCTGACCTTCAGGTCTACAAGGCTCTTGCCCTACAGCCCCAGGGGCCACTCATACTCACGTTTCGTATATGTGCCCATTCTCCACACGTTCCTCCACTAAGGCCAGTGCCCGCACATGCAGTGGGGAGTGGGGGTAGGCAGCATGGATCCAGGGTAGCCCGAATAGGGACAATCCCGTATTGATGATGGCAAGTAGCAGGAGGTCCCAGTGATAGGCAGTGCCCTTCACCAGCCTGAGGGAGGTGGGCACA